ATAAGATTGAGGGCTATAAAAATTATGTTTTGCCTGAGTGATGACAACATTATAATGAGTAATTTACTATAGATTTCATACTTCTCAGAGGGATGATAAATAAATTAGAGAAGAGGGGATACCTAGAGAACCAATGTCACAATTCTCATCCTAGTGGAAATTCAGGATTTTTTTAATGTTGCCTTAGAACTTATACAGTGTTGAACTTTGGATTATTATATACGTTTATTCATATACTGTAATGAAAAAGTAGTTTAATTAAATTTTGAATGTAACTCAGTAAAACCTTGTGACATGCACAGAAAAGGATGCCCGTAGTGAAAGAATTAATACAAGTGCACAGTTGTTTGAGAAATGAGTCATATGGACTCTAATATCAGGCAAGAGAGGAAAGAAAATGTAATCCTGAGTATGGGTTTCATGTAGTAAAGCATGGGAATAATTAATAAAATATCATACCTGCAAAACCATGTGAAGAAATAGTTTAGAAGAGTGAGGATTTTCCTAGACAGATAAAGCTCTGTCTAAAACAATCTCTGGTGGGGGGAAAAAAGGCAGTCAAATCATTATCGTCTTGATGATGTTCAAATTGGAGAGAAGGAACATCAGCCGAATGGATGGGAGGATAAAGCCCAATGTACATGAAGGTACCTACCATAAGTTGAACAATGGCTATCACATTCTCCACAGACAAAGAGACTCCAGTAGCCACAGTTCACACAGGTTTTGTGTTAGGAACATCGTCACTATCATGGGTTAAAGAGGAAGTTATCATCACTTGAGAATTCATAATGGCAGGCAATCACCATATTTTTTGTTGTTGTTTTTTAAGTGGAATTTAATGAACCCACAATGTTTATGTGAAATGCACGTTGGATTCTTAAAGGTGGAAGGTTATCATTGCATGACGATGACTTCATACACTAATACAGTTCATATCAATTCTCTCTACATGGGCCCAGTGAAATTGACTAACCATGTGATCACTTTGTACTCATTTAAAGTTGTTATAGTTTTGGTACATCCAACTTTTAATAGTCAGTGTATCTTCACAAAATTTAGCAGACTTTCAGTAAACATTATGTCTTTTACATACAAAAAATCTGAATTTTTAGGGAAGTATTTTTAATAAACTCTAAAAAGATTTGTCTATGATATATATTTGTCTTGACTAGCCTGAGTGCAAAGTGATTTTCATGTTAAGATTAAAAGTACTTCATCTCAAAAATCTAAAATTTCATTTGCATAGTCTCTAAAACCTCCTAAATACATTTCACACGTTTTTTTTCAGTAAAACTTTACATTTCATCTGTAATTTTTCTCTACCTTAACTACATAAAACAATGACTAATTTGATCAATCTCATAATTCTAGAATTACTTCAAATTGTACCATAAACTACATTTATTTATCTTAAGTAGCTTAAAACTCGTAACAGTATACATCTAATTATACTTACATTTTATCATTTTATTGCCCTTTGAACCGTGTCTAACCACTAAATCATGCCATTATAAGTTGTAAATCACTTAGGGAGCATGGGGCTCTCATTACACTATCAAAATACATTACCCACAAGGTATTCCATGCTGCTTGTATGCGTGCCTTTTGAAAATTTTTATGATATTATATGTATTATTTATTTTACCCAACCTAACCTTAAGGTGTTTCCAATTTTGACATTTTATTTACTTTTATAATAATAAATAAAGAATACACATGAAAAAATAAATAAAGTACTTACTTGGACCTTCTTTTTATACTAACGGTAGTAGTGCACTAAATAATTTATATTGAATTAAATAATGCACCAAAGAACAGAATAATAACATGCAAAAAGCAAACAATGTCCCACAACTATCACAATTTTTCTGACTTTCTAACTATGCAAAAAGAATGGTTACAAATTCATCCAAGCTAGTCAAAATATGTTTCCTGTGAGAATGAAACTTGTATTAAAAGAGAAATTGACAATTCTCTGTTCAGAAAACAATATAATATAATACGTCATTTGAAAGACAAAAACCTTGGCTTTCTATTAGTTATAAATAATACAGTATTAAACATAAAAGAGAACTATTAACAATGAAAGAGAGGACATTACAGGTGGGTGTGGCAAGAGGGGTCTGATTTTCTTCTATTTGATGGCTCTGTAACCAAACAAGATTGAAGGCTAGGAAAATTCTGGTTGGTCTGAGTGATGACAATATTATAGTGAGTAATTTACATTAAATTTCATACTTATTGGAGGGGTGGTGAATAAATTAGAGAAGAGGGGATGCCTAGAGAAAAAAATTTCACACTTCTGACATTAGGAGAAATTCTGGATTTTTTTAAATATTGCCTTATAAAATTAAGACCTTAAAACTTATATACTATTAAAATATGGACTATTAGCTACAATTTTATGCCATACTAATTGGTATAACATAAACAAAAAAAAACCATTTGAAAAAAAACAGTAAAAATAATTCCTCTCATCTTAGAATTTCAATTTCCTTATTACTGATAAGAAGATTCCATTTTATACACCCAAACTCCATCATTCTGTATGGTAGCTCAAATATAGGACAGGGTCAATTAACATAGTATTACCTCATTTGTACAGCATGCATCTTAAGTAATGAAAAACACATCCTAAATTAAAGTAAAGCATAGTAACTTTCACAAAATGCCCACTGAGAAAAACTATGAATAACATTAAAAGCTACAGTTTATATCATATTAATTCAAACTGTTATTCAAAAACGTATTGTCATTTAATTAAATTTGGGACTGCTATAAATCTCCATAATTTCTGTTCTAATTAATTAATGAAAAAATACTTGGAAATAATACAGTACTGGATTCCATCAAATGGTTACTCACCGATTAATTCAGTAACCCAAGTTTCAAAATAGTATTACAAGACTAGTTCTATAATTGGGATGGCTTGTGGGACAATTTCTGTGGCCCATGAAGTTTCAACTATGATTATATAGATGTACTATAGTAGTCTATTTTAAAAAAGCATATCATTATGTATCAGTAATTTAGGTCTACATATTGCAGGGATGTGAATAATGCAATGTACATCCTCTGTGGAAAGAGAAGAATGCAATGTGCATCATCTGTGGAAATAGAAGAATGCAATGTACATCCTCTGTGGAAAGAGAAGAATGCAATGTGCATCATCTGTGGAAAGTGAATAATGCAATGTGCATCCTCTGTGGAAAGTGAATATCGCAATGTGAAATCTTTTTTTTGTTTCTCGAATGACTTCAAATTGTAACATGAAACTACATTTGAGTTGTAACTAAATAATACACATGAAAAACAAGAAATATAGTACTTACCTGGGTCTTCTTTTTTTGCTGTCAACTGTTGATGAAACTTAACCCTACTTTTTTATACTAATGGCACTACTAAACTAAATATTTTTTCATTTAATTAAATAATGCACCAATAAACAATACACAAAAAGCAAACAATGTCCTATAACTATCACAATTTGTCTGACTTTCAATTTATGCAACCAGAGCTGCTAAAAATGTGTTTGCCATAGCAATAAAGTTTGAACTGGAAGTGAAATAGACAATTCTTTGTAGAGAAAACAATGTAATTTCCAAGCTGTTAACTTAAAATTTTCTACTTTTGTACAGCAAACTAATGAAAACCTAACTTAGAAAGTAAAATGTCAGTCTGTCAAACCTTGTGATCCATGGTAATGTACATCACTGATAGGCTAACAAGCATAGAAAGTTACCAAATTAAGACTGTCAAGTTCAGAACGTTGTTTTCTTTGGAACTATGTTTTTCTATCAGTCACAGTTCTAGTTCAACCAATTTTCAAAGTATTAAAACAGCTGAAACCAAAAGTTCTTTCATTATTTTTTCTATACTACCCATATACAAAGTACATGGCATGATGTAGGTAATAGCCCAGTATGACACGGTCACTTCACTCTAAGCTCTGGACAATGGGTGGAAAATGATGATGTTCAACAAGTTTCAAGAAATGGCCACATAACTTAATCACAAGATCAAATCATACTGTGTTAGTGATCTTAGGAATAAATTCATTCTCATAACTCTAATATTAAATGTGTATACATGGGCATCCACAGAAATGTTTCTAGAGGAGGGGAAGGGGCAAAGTCAAAATCGAGGGACGATTGAACCACCTACAGAATTTTGCCAATACGATCAAGAGAATAGGCAAGTTCCCACAGTAGGATTTGATGGGTTTAATATTTGTAAGGTTAGTTTAAGCAGACTTGCAGCTATATATGTTCCATAATAGTAAATTTTGGTTGACACTGACAACATCGTCTCATGAGATGCCTGCAAGATTGCATCAGTCTCTTTGATAACCTACTACCAGTATTGGCAACAGGTTGACCTCGATCACAATGTGTCAGGGCTCAGGGGATGTTGGCAAGACCTCTTTGATGACACGAGTGAGAACTGCCATGTCCAATATCCACGAAGACACTGTGGTAGTGACGTTTTCAACATTTAGGTACAGAGAAGGTATCTAGAGATTTTAAATAAAGCTGTTGACAAACTTGGTGACTTTTATTAGAATTGAAAATTAAGTATAAAAAGTAGTGTGAAATTGTGCAGTCAAGAAAAATACATAAGCTGAATGAATAAAGAAAGAATTATGTTTCTCATTTTCCAGAGTTGGGGGCAAGTTATATCAGAAGAAAAACTATCATCCAAACACAAAATACATTATATAATTTCTGTAGTGCATATTGGTGTATAGAAGACATATTAATACTAGAAATAAATGACCTTGTAACATGTTATAGCTTCGAATAGAAGTTATTATTTATACCATTTGAAGCTTTGTACTGTTTGTTTCAGTTTGTGTTTTAGTGAACACTCCTGAAGAAGCTGTAAAGTTAAACATTTAGTGTCTATTTAAATAAAATTTTAGTGTTATAAGGTCATTTGTTTATAGTACAAAATACCTCATGTTGAAGACAAGTATTACTTAATCTCTCAACTCTCACCTACACACTTTTGAATGTTAGCAGCTACTTCCATGCACTGGGCAATAGGAAACATTGCTGTTAAGGCATTTTTTTCCAGACATTGCTTCTGATTGCTGCACCAAACACAATTACCTTCAATACAATATTCACATGTTGATCTATTACTACAGGGTGGTTCACAGGTGACTCTTAAGTCATTCGACATAAATGCTTTCTCTGTTTTGTTACCTAAAAATATAAATACCTCAAGTTAATTTCAACCAAGAAAGGAAAACTATTCCCTTATATTAACATGGCCATACCATGAAGTCAAATTATCAAGGAGTAGAGTTGGGTCTGAACAGTTTTCAATATATTTTAATATAAAAAATTCCCAAATGTGATTTATTGTAAAAAAATCTTTAATATTTCCTATGAAAGAATGACACAAATTTAATACAAAATATCTGTTTTGTGGAGCAGAATAGAATGGCTTAAAAATAATTAGTTAAAATTGCAATTCAGCATTGAAGGTTATATTTTAAAAAAGATACATTTTAAGGGATCCAGCTAAAGTACACTTAAAAACTTCGAAAAAGAATGAGAACATAAAATCCAGAGACTATAAAGTTATCTGTTTATAAAATAACACAAAAAACCCAGTAAAAACCAGAAGAAAAAAAGGCAAAAGAAGTAAAATATTTTCTTGTTGGAATGCATTATTTCAGAAACTACAAACAGTTGAAAAGTTTTTAGATGAGATCGTACTTATTTCTCTAACAAATGTACAACTCCTTCTCTTAGCTTCCCACCCACAATGGTATTCAGTGTGGCAAGCATGGCACACATGGAGCTTATCACAGTTGCTGCTTTCAGTATCTTCACATGCTTCTAAACTAATGGTTTTCTGCAAATAAATATATAAAAGAAACAGTCAAGTGCATAAAAAATAATGAAATATTAAATCCTGCATTACACTTTATCTGCTTGGATGTACTCATTGTACACCACTGACATATACAAGATTTTCAGAAACTGTAAAATGAGAAAAATAATGTAAAAACAAATTAAAATAATTAAAGCATTACATCAAAATGAGTTTCATAAGATAACTTAGAAGTTTACGCTAACGTTTTAGAAAAAATCAAACATTAAATTAATTGGTATCATTTAGTATCTTGGTGAAACAACTGGAAAAAAAAGAATTTGAAATTTTTTACAAAATGTCATGTGCTCATAGAAATACAATAAAAATATCTAAAGACGACATCTAATAATGTCCAAGTGCTTGAGAAAAATTAACTTGACAATTCAATAAAAAAAAGAAACAAAAATTAACAGAATAATTCATGTGCATACAAACTTTTACTCAAAATTTATACACTCAGAAACATTTACAAAAAATTAAAACTAAGTTTTTGTACATCTTACGATTATAAATTAATAAAGTAGAACCTCAACATTAAGGGCACCCTTCCAACTGCATCCAAATGCCCTCTAGAGCAAGATTCCCTTAATATGAAAAATGAGCCATGCAAAGCTGGATTCCATATATTTACTAAATTTATGAATTTTAAAGCTCCCCCATTTTGTTTGGTGTATGCAGCACACAGGTGTTTGTGTATTGCACATTGCCATGAAACAAAGCATTACCAACAGGAGGTCTTAGGGGTTGGATTAGCTGTGCCCTTTTTTCTTTATTATTGGCCACAAAGTTTCAAAGTACATCTCTTCAAAGCCTGAACTGCTAAACATTTCAAATTTATTTTCTGTGTTTATTTTACTGTCACTTATTGAAGTAAAGATCTGCTAAAAATTAAGCAACAAATCACTGCTTGTGTCATTAAGCTGTTTTATGTGACATCATAATACGATACTTTTTAGAGAAACAAAGCACACACACAGTACAAGCCGACTTGACCCATCCTCTGAGAACACAATGTCAAATTTATCAGCTAATGTATCCTACAGTGTTTACAATAAGAATTCCCCTGAGTAATAAGATTGCACTTTGAGTCTGTGAAAACGTTTATTACAGTATATTGTTTGGCACTGTTCCAATAAACATTGCAAGCGTTTGAATACTGGTCCTTCTGGGATGTTTGGAATTTAGCAGTATACTGTACAGGCATACAAAGATAACAGCCCACTTTATCAAGTTCCTGTATAGAAAATAAGACTAAAGACACTGCTCTTAATCTGAAATATCAAGGTGCCTGTTATTGCAAAATTTATCTTGGTTACAAATAGTAGAAAAATAAAGAGACTGAAAAGGTTTATCCTTAATGACATGATGCTCGTTAATCGATATTCTACTGTACTAATATTTTTAACTTATCAAATGGAAAACCGTTTCTAAATATATTTATGTATCATAGATACAACTCACAATAATCATCTTTAAAAATCTGGATATAATTCACTTTCAATGAAGAGAACAAACTCTCCAGAAAAACCCTTAGGGATATCAATGAAGAGGCTTAGTAATATGGAGAAGTAATGCAGGAGGGTGGTAAAGTAAGAGACAAATGCATGAAAATTGGGCACTGGAAAGGGAAGTAAAAGTTAAGGGGTCTACTTCCGAATCAGATAAACGAGATTCCAAAGATTTGGAATCAAGGAATGTAAGTGAAGAATGGCTGTAAGCCAGGACAAAAGAATCAAGTACATAAAGAGAATGAAGCATGTTAACGTTTTTGCTACAGACTCAGTCTATTAAACCTAAAAATTGACCCCAAATTAACCTTCAGAGTTTTCATATTATAACTTCTAATATATTTTGTGTATCTTCACAAAATTTTGCAAGTTTTCAGTAAGCATTAAGAGTCTTTTGTAGACAAACAATAATAATTTTGAATGAAGTATTTTCACTAAAAATTTCTCCATGAATATATGTAGTCAAAGTGTTCACTGCTCCAAGTGCAAAGTGATTTTCATGTTAAGAGTAAAAATAAGATTCATCATCTGAAATCTCAAATTTCATTGGCATAATCTCTAAAACTTCCTAAATAAATTTCAATTATTTTTCAGTACAACTTTATATTTCATACATTATTTTCTCTACCCTAATGTTATGCAAGTTTGATCAATTTGACTGACCTCATAACACCAAAAAAAATTTGAATAAATCTAAATTTCCATTATAAAAAAATAAGTCTTCTTTTTTCTTAAGTGTTTGTTAACTCTCTTGCATACTTGAGGTACTTTTTTTGTCACTTAAATGATTTATAACTATACATATTTTTAGTTTATCTTGGAAATTTGTCGAACTTATTGGCTAAGAAAACCTTTTATAGAGATATATATTGATTGATTTGTCAAAGTCACAGGGTAATTTGGTGACTGAAAGATTACAAGACTCATTAAAACATTCATTTTTAGAAGACATGATTTTGCTGTTATTTTATTTGTGTTTATTAACCAAAGCAAATGATATCTCATTATTGCATATATATATATATATAT